AACTTAATCTGTTTATCTTTCAATAAAATATCGAAGATTTTATCCGGCTTTTTACATCAAAAGTATATGTTCGATTTGCCATTTTGTCTTTTACTTCATTTTTCTGTAGCAATTTACAAATGTATGGAGCTCCTACTTTAAGCTCTGCTATATTTACTTTCTCATCGACAGTTTCTTTAATATCTATTTCTGCCTTGGGATCTTCCTCATATACATCATTTATATATGCTATTCTTTCTTTCTTCATGGGTTTCTCAAATTTCTTGTATCTTTGTTTCTCATATTCGATTTGTTCCACTATTCTTACTTTATCAGCTAACTGAGTCATGTCATTCAACGGTAAATTAACTAACTTTTTCCTAATCGAGAATTCTAAGCCTGCAGAGGCCATTTTGACTAATTCATATTCAGGAATTTGAGTAAAGCATCTTGACTTCATTTGTCTAAATCTATTCAAATAATCATCTATGCTTTCATGATTGTATCTCTTTATGTTCATTAAGTCGATGAGACTTACTTGAGTCTCCCCCCTAAAGAATTGCTCATGAAAATTTCTTTCCAATTGCAACCAATTATATATCGAATTAGGTGGCAATGAAGTAAACCAAGTGAAAGCATTCTTAGTTAATGAACTAGGAAAATATTTCATTTTTAATTCTTCACTCATCGCTAGGTCCCCACATTCGATCTGATATCGCGCCACATGTTCGATAGTGGACTCACCAATTTCTCCAGCAAATTTGGTAAATTTAGGTATTTTGTATCCTCGAGGTAACTCTGTCTCGAGAATCGTATTTGGAAAAGGAGAAACAAAATATGGTTGATTGGGTGGTCTTAATTCCACTCCTTGGAGATTCATCCTTTGTCCTAGCATGTGATTATACTGCATGTTATTATACACATTTTGAAATCCTTCATTCAAATTTCCGTAAATATCATTCCTCACCTGTTGATATTCATTCCCCATGTGCTGATGTTGATCATTGTTTCGATTTCTCCTTAATAAATAAGGGGGATTGATATTAGCATTCTGGTTAAGGTTCTGATTGGCATGATTTTCCAATCTTGTTTGTCGAGGTATAGCCAATGCATCCCCGATACATGTCATTTGGTCTGCTAATATCTCAAAGCTAGTAGTAGTGTTTTGAACTAATGAGTTTAGGACTGTAGTCAACTGTTGTGATAACATATTAACCATTTTGAAATTGCTTTCATCCATTTGTTGTCTAGGTACTCCTAATGAGTTACTGGAGATTCCAGTACTAGCGTTTTCGATAGTCTCAAAATTGGATCGATGGTAATCTCTATCGAATGTATATCTCCCATGATCCATATTTGCTCTGTGATCTAGATTTAGAGGTGTCTGTTGTGTACCTAAATTCTGCACACTCCCTGAATTCTGGGGGGTTACTAAAATTTGAGATGCCCCTAAATTTGGAGATACTCCAAAGTTTTGTGGCATACCTAAAGTTTGAAATGTACCTAAGTTTTGAGGCATTCCTAAATTAAATCTCGAACTTCGTTGTATTGAAGAGGTACCAGCCTCATTCATATTATTAAGCGAAAAATCAGGCGGCCTTACGCTCATATACGGCCCTGCATATGTTGTTATGGGGTTTCCCATAGTTTGCGTTTGCATATTGTTCGATATCAAAGTACTAGACCCTATTTGAGTGTTTGCTAATGTACTTGAACTTTGTTCATTACTCACAGGTATCGACATACTCGCAGTTGTCGATATTACAAGCATATTCCCATTATGACCTTGCCCCCCAGTGTTTGGTGGATTTGAACCATTTAGAACCTCACTGTTACTCTGATTATTTGGTGGATGACTCATTCTTATTACTCGTTCACTCCTTAATCTCATACACTTTCGAACTAACCAATTTTATGTTTTTCGACACAAGACCCCCTACCTGGCGCGCCAATTTGTTTCTGGTGAAAATTTGATCGATTTCGGTTCCTAAGAGATTTTGGTTCTAACCAAATTTCAACCATGTAGATTCTTTTACTTAGGCTAACAAATAGTTTTCAATCGAAAATATGTATGAGAATCGAAAATGTCATAATATCGAGAATTGTTAACAACGCAACCTATCATACAGATTGACAATCGAAAGTATTATTTTTGGTATTTTTTATTAAGACACGCGAAGTAAAGAAAGTAGTAAAAATATCGAATCGAAAAGCAGTGCAGAATATTAAATTGCAGAGAAATGTAAAATGCGAAAACCTCGAAATTGCAGAAATGTAAGTGCGCGAGGATCTTAAACGCATAACCTTAACTTGCATAGAAGTAAGTGACAAGGAATTGAAAGTGCAGAAACTTAAAGTTGCTTAAACGTAAACTGCATCAAAATAAATTGCATGAACATAAATTACCAGGGAAAGTACAAAAAGCGGTAAAGACAATCAATGAAAATGGAAATCCAGATCGCCAGAAACTTCATGATTTCGTCGTTCTCCGGTAGACTTTTTCACTAGTGTTTCAGTTCTCTCTGCCAATTTCCCCCTTTCCTTCATTCTTTGCTCTATTTATAAAACTGTATTTCACGTTCCCATGCATGAGATAACCGCTCCCTTGACCTTTGATCTCTGCCACGATTTAGAAACCGCTTCCCATGTTCTATGTACGCGTTAACTGTTCCTCTCTTTCTAACTTAGCCAAAATTTCGATGGCCGTTCATGTTAACTTTTCCCTCGATTTCGATTTTAAAATCTCGAGAACTTTGCATTGCTTTTTTTATTCCCCTTAACCTTAACATTACATGATTCTAATTCCTCGATTTTCTTCAACAATAGACATTAAATACTCCTCCTTCGATTCTCGATTCTAATTCTCGATTTATGTGTCTATACTGTTACATGGTCATCGAATGTTTTCCAACCATCTTTTCACTTTACCAGTTTTTTTTATCGATCATATGATCCTCGATTTTTTTTTCTTTGCTTCGTTTTTTTATCCTTTATTGATTTTCTACTAACACTAGGTAATTATAAAAATGAAAAAAACTTTTAGTTAGAATAAAAAGAAGGATGACGTGATCTATTTAATAATGAATTGAAATAAAAATAAATTGAGATGATATGTGGTGTTATTTTGGTAACGTAGAGAAGTGTGAATTTGGATGACATGGGTATGTGTGAGTGATAAAGTGGGGACCTCATGAGACACACTACACTTCTTCTGTGTCTCAACTTTCTGCACTGCACATATCATATGATATATGAGAGGTAATGCAAGTTGAGTTAGGTTTTGTCATGTTCTGTTGTGTTCTGCATACTACTTTTGTTTTCATGCACGTGACTTTGAATAAACTCACGTGCCCTCCATCCCCTTCCATCTCCAACCCCACCTGCCAAAACCAAACTAACCCATACTCACCTTACATACCGTCACTAAATCATCAAAATAGTTTTTTAATTTTTGTTACGACTTCTGTGATTATTAATATTATTATATTTATTTAAAATAATTTCTAAAAATATAATTTTATTTTCAACTTATTTTAAAAAATATATTTTGAAATCTGATATCTACAAGTATTTAAAAAAAAAAACTAAATCAAATAAATTCTTAATCTTTTCCTCATAAAATTTTGCTATTTATAGGAAGAGGTAAATATGCTCGTCAATAATAATAATAACAGTATAATTGTTGTGTGCACATATTCTGAGAAGGTAGGTTGTTTGTACCGTGTTGACTTTCCCATAAGGCATAAGTTTTATCTCCGTAAATTATAAAAAAAGTGTTATAAGAACCCATTCAATGAATTAACAAAACAAATTCGACATGAATTATATGGTTTTGATATCGATGATATAAAATGTGAAATGGGTTAAAATTTAATTGATGTAGTCTTAATAAACCATGAGAAGTTTGGAAGAAAAGTTTGAGGAGTTTAATAAGATATTGTGGAGTGTTATATATTTGACGGCAAAGTAAGGAAGCATTGGCATGTGTCCGAAATTGAGTGTGTGTACTTTGTAGAAATGGATTAACTAGTGTTAATGAGTTGAGTGTGTATATTTATATATATTTATATATATATATATATATATATATATATATATATATATATATATATCCGAAAAGAGAAAGAAGAAAGATAAAGATGTATGGATATCGTAACTCCAAGCTGTCCCATTGTATCTTTGCATCTCAGTGTAAATGCTCGCCATGATTGTCGGAGGGCAAAAGAATCCTTTCATTAATCAATTCGTATTCCTTCTTGTTGTTTAATTAAAAGTTATATAAACAAACAATTATAAAACACCATTAAAGAAAACAAAACAAACACAAAGAAGGTAGGGGAAGCTTCAGCACACGACAAACCTTCCAAATTCACATGTCTCTGCATAATCAACTTTCTAACGTCTCATAAAATTTTCTGTTAATTGCCGATTATATACATGTCAAAAATAACTCTTTCTTTCAATTATATGTATGGGAATTTAAATTATAAAATGCCGGAATCAACATAAAGCGTTGATAGTCAGATGATAAAGTTGTTAATTAATTGCCATGATTCGGTGTCAGTTTGCGCTTTTCATTATTTTGCTTGTTAATGCGCGTGAGTAAATAAATACGTGCAGTTTAGTGTTTGAATGGATAAACTGTTCAAGATAAAAAAAATAATACGCTTTTTAATTTATTATAATAAAAATTGTTGTAAATTTTAAAGTTAAAAAAATAAATAATTAAAGAGATATATATATATATATATATATATATATATATATATATATATATATATATATATATATATAAAGAGGAATTAGTGGGGGGAGTAGATGTATGTTGGTTGATATGTGTGGTGGGTATGAGAGAGAGAATCTTGAGGGGGAGGAGCATGCACATGGAGGCATAGGGGAAGGCATGACATTATAGAAGGGAAAGAGGGGTAGATTTAAACATAAAAAATAAAAATAAAAATAAAAATAAAAATGGCGCGTTTGACGGCACAGCCAAAAAGATCCATCATACATCAGGGGATATGGAGAGTGGAGGTGCGGTGGTGCGGCACGTGACATTTCTTCCCTCACCACCAACATCTTCTGTTCCTTTTCTCTGTCTTCATTCTTCTCTTTTTCATCTTTTATGGATAAAAACGAAACAGGGGAAATGTAAATCCATTTCCAATTACTTAAAAAATGGAAGAGTTTAATTAGCAACTCACGCACATAATATTGCTAGGGATCTGTGCACTAATCATCACCTCAGGCCTGTATTTAAAACTTTCTTAATTTCATTTAAGACGTCAACTGCTTCCTGTTCCCTTGTCAACGCTCCCGTTACCCTTCTCTCTCACGTGACCATTTTTTTTTTCTGTTAGGCAAAATACTGAACTATGTTTGTCGTTTTGGTATTTAATCACCGGGTCACATTTTTTTATATGTAATTATAAAAATATTAAAAAATACGTAATTGAGAATATTTAATAATGTTATTTACAAATATGGTAAAAAAAACTCTGTTAGCTCTTTTTCGTTTTTAGATTATTTTTTCTACGCTTTCGCCCATAGAATTATATATCCAGCCAGCTATTGTAGAGAAGAAGTGAGGTGTCCCTGAAAAGTTAGGCTTCCCCTGGTAAGTTTTAACACTTGCTGTCAAGTTTATTTTGCACTGCATTCTGTTCAAAACCATGATAAGCCTATATATTATAGTTTTCTAGGTCATCAACCTCCTCACTGTATTACAGTTCAAACGGAAAAAAAATGTTTTGTCCCTATATAAAATTACCAATTGCAAAAATACTTCTTTTATGTCCCATCAAAACTATGGTGAAAAAATCTCGTTCATTCCTTCTCAACATAGACACGTAGGAGGAAAAAAATGTATTTGGTTCAGAATTTAAATTGGTAATATTTCATACAAATATGTTAGTTTTTAATACATTTTAAATATGAAGTTATATCTATTTATCATGGTTTGAGGGAGAGATTCTTAAGGAGTGATGAAAGATGTGTGAAAATTGAAGTGAGTAACTGAAAAATGAACCATGTTTGTTGGTACAGGATGAAAAAGTTGGAGAGAGGGAATGGAGCCGGGGTTATGAAATGAAGGTGGGTCTTTATTGTTGTGTTACACGTGTAAGCTTTGATGCGTTGTCAATAATCGATTGGTGGGGTGTAATGCTTACGTATTGGGTAGGTGTCTATGTAAGTATCTCTCTCCCTTCTTTCTTTCCCGAACCCAAACACCCACATTCCACGATACATTACATACCCTTCTCTCTCTCTCTCTCTCTCTCTCTCTCTCTCTCTCTCTCTCTCTCTCTCTCTTCTCTTCCCTCTCCCTTTCCCCCCTCCGCCCACACTGCATGTTCCTGCTTCTCTTTATCTTTCTCTTTCTCTTCTCTTCTCCTTCCACCTTCTTCTACTCCTTCACCTCACTTTCGCCTTTCTTTTCTACTCTCACCTCCTCGCTTCTCCTCCACCAATTCAGATCCGCTCACGCCCAACCACCACCACCACCACCACCACCATCACCGTCGATCTAGATCTCCTTCGGCCGATTTTTCCAGATTTGCTCGCCGCCACCACCGTCATGACTGCCAACGGAGGTTGCGCCATTAATTACTTCTTTATCTATTTTTAATTACTTAATTCATTGGACGAACTGTTGTCGACTTTTTATTTTTTTTCCTTTAATTTCCACTTTTGATCTGTATAATCCCTATTTTCATCTGAATTTTCAATCGGTTAAGTGAGATAATAAACCTGAACTTTATTGTTAAGAAAGAAGGGGGGTTGTGTTGTGTTTCTTTGTAAACGGTTTATGAGATAACGTAGTGTGGTTAGAACTTGCGGGAAAGGAATGGATTTGGTTTCTCTTCCGTTGACTTGAAATCGATCTTATTGTCGTTTTTGACGTGTGAACATACAGGGAGTTGTCTGAAGACCCATGATTTTCTGCAGCCACTAGAGCGGCTAGAAACGAAGGGGAGTGCGAAGGAAGAAGCGACGGATGAAATATCATGGGTGGTTGAGAAGGCAGGACCTTCGGTTGAGCATCTCTTACCTGGGGGAATTGGGACTTACAGCATTAGCCACATTTCATATGTTAATAATAACAGTAACAATAATAATCAAAGGCTTCCGAAAGCAGAGACGTCCCTTTTCGTGCGTCAAGCAAATAGTACGGACAGGAACGATGAGAACTCCAACTGCAGTTCGTATACTACTTCAAGTGGTTTCACGCTGTGGGAAGACTCATCGGGGAAGAGGGGCAAAACAGGAAAGGAGAATAATTCGGGCGACAAACCCTCTCTTGGAGGTAAACCATAAATTTCTCTTTCTTTCTCTCCCTGGGAAAAACTTCTTCCAATTTATTTAAATTTATAAAATATAAAGTAATAATAAATATCATTTTAAATTCTTTTTTATTTATCATTGACAGTTTTTTTATTAATATCAAAATACTTCTCATCCCAATCAATAAATTTGATTGTTAAATTTCAGATCATGATCATTGAATAAATGCTTATTAAATATTTTGTCCCACCAATTTCGTACATTTTCATGGAGTTTACTACAACTTTTATAAACCTAAATTAAAACAAGGTCAAGCAACCACATTTCTTTCCATATTTCCCATCCCTACAACGAAATCGAATATATATATCATGAGAAATTACTGAATTATATTTTGATCCTAAACGATTTTTTATTTTTTTTATTCCTAAGGAATTTTTATGTTATTTTGGTTTTCGAAAACGTTATCTTAATTATTTTATTTCATTAATTAAAACATTATCTAAATAAATTTAGAGGATAAAACAAAAAAAATGTTTAGAAACAAAAAAAGTTAAAAAAATATGATTAAAAAACAACAATAAAATTCGTGATTTTTCATAAATAAAAATAGTATACTAATATTATTTTAAATTGACAAGTTTGTTGTGTGCTATTCTTTCCGCAGAATTTTTAAAGTATTCTTGAATTATGTTTAAATACTGTACTCTACCCACCTGCTCAAAATTCCAGTGTTAAAGATATTTTAATTTAAAATCTATCGTTTCGTCGTTAATCAGAACCACATTTTTACAAGTATTTTCAAAAGTGATTTTCATCATCGTAAATATATTTTATTTTTATTCATCCCAATTATCATATCTTAGTTATAATTTATTTTATTTTAACATTTGGTACATTGTATCGAATTAAGTATATTTTTCCTTTTTGGACAAATATATTATAATCATTGTCATGAATCTTAATTGAATAGAATTTTTTAAAGTTTTAAATCTTGATGTTCTCTATAATTAAACTGATGCATGTTGATTTTAGTGTTTTATTTTCACGATTATTTGGTATGTAAACGTGTGAGACGAGTCATTTTAATTATTGAAATAACAAAGTATTTGTTTTTGTACCTCGATATATAAACAGACATGTAATTATATATATGGTTAAATTTTATGAAATTATTTTATCTTTAAAATATATTCATAATAACAGTAAATCAGATATTATCTTGTCATTAAGTTAAAATATTGGTGATCAATTTAATATTTTTGCAAAATTAGGAATTAAATTAGTTTTTTTATTCTTTTAAAGGTTAAATTGACAATTTTTACACATTTAAATACTACATTTTTACTTTTTTAATTTGAAAGTTTGTGTAATATAAGGGACATTTTCTATCATTATATATATATATATATATATATATATATATATTCTGACGTCATTGTTGTAAGATATCTTCATTTAAATGAAGCATTTTATCATTTTACTTGTAATGTATTTGATGATTCATCTAACCATTGTCGACAAATAATAAAAAAGGTGTCGTGGATGTTATAAATTTGTTCCATCATTCTAGAAATGGATTCCATAATTGAGTTAGCTACAGAAGAAATCATCTGATTATGTCTCATTAATATTACATGTCAATTTTAGCTGTTCGTTCATATTGTGAATTCCTTACTATTGTGTTTACAACAGCAGCAAATAGAATTAGTAGCAGAGGAACTTGGTCTCTTCGTAAAACCAGTAGATGGAGACTTTAAAGTCATCTATCTTCAATAGGAAATTATGTTATTACAATTTAAAAAATTGTCAAAAAAAAAAAAAAAAAATCGTACAAATACATATACAGTATGTCTAACGGTAATAGCGTTTGGGGGCGCTTTATTTTTTGTGACAGAGTGTGCGGCGACAAAGCTAGGGCAGTGGACATCAGCGGAGCGGACGTCGCAGTCGTTTTGTACCAATCGTCACGGCAGCCTCAGCTCTCGCTCTTCATCGCAGTTAGTCTCTCGCTGTCTCTACTTCCATATTTATACGTCTTTCTTTTAGGTATTAAATTTTAGTGATGTTTATGCTGTATTTGGGGAATTAATTAACAGGACAACTGGGCAGAAGAACCAGAGTTTTATTGAAATGATGAAGTCTGCAAGGGATAGTGCCCAGGATGAAGTGCTAGAGAACGAAGAAACATTTTTTCTCAAGAAAGAACCTTCCAATACCCAAAGAGGTAAGTTTAAATATTCCATTATTGAGAAAGGTGCACCATGCCCATTGTCCGTACCTCTTTTATGGAATATGTTCAGCTGGCTCAATTAATCTTCATGTTAAGTTTCTCCTTTTAGCTGTAGAGTTGTTAACTAGATATTGGATTTCCACCCAAGTGGTGCATTTTAAAAAATAAATTCAGGATTAGCACGTTTTAAATTTATTACTATGAATGGAAAGGTAGCTAATCAAACAATTTTTATTATTCACTAATTTTAAAAACATGTTGTTTCCTTTGACAACGGCTTTAATTAAAGACAACTAGTCTCTAGATTAACTTTTTAGAAATAAATTAATAATAGTGTGTTAAAAAAAATGTATCATTGGTATTTTTCATCTCAGGTAATTTATTCTAAGTGGTTTTGATTGTTTTGCTCAGTGTGTTAATTAAAGAGTATATTATTTATTCAAAATTTTAATGATATTATCTTTTTTATATTTCCCATTATATATATAATTTTACCTCACTATGAGAAATGATAATGACATTGCTTAATTTATTTTTTATTGCTGTCTAAAATTTGTAGAAAACATAAATTTTTGTGAGTCTGCTTTATTTAATGAGCCGTCACTTATAATTTGAATGGTTTTTAATAAATTATAGCTAATAATAGAAAATGTGAGTCGCTTGTTGAAGTCGAATTTGATCGAGATTAGAGAGGAGTCTTGGACCGAAACAACTCAAATTTTGTGACGCATTCGGGTGATACTTTGTATCAACTATATCTGTTGTTATCTAACAATTATTCGTCCTGTCCGTTGTCATTACTCTTGTGCTTTAATTTTAATGTAAAGAGGGAGTAAAGAGAAAACTTTGAGTACAATAACTACTTTGTAATTCGTAATAATTTAATTACAACGTTTCGTCAGGGCTAAGAAGTGAATTGACACAGGTTATTGATTATTTGTTCTCGGAAGTCATTTGTTTTCAAATTTTATGATAAAGTTAACTTATGTGGTTATTTACGACAGAACTGAGAGTGAAAGTAGATGGTAAGAATACTGACCAAAAGCCAAACACACCAAGATCAAAACACTCTGCAACAGAACAGCGGAGAAGGAGCAAAATCAATGACAGGCATGTATTACCTGGCAATCCAGTCTTGAAGTTACTTTCCTATTTTACTTTAGTATTTATGAACTGAATATAAACTAATATAGTTTAAAAGAAAGTTTTCTTACATTGTTCATAGTCTTCTGACAGAACATTAAAATTAATCGTGCAGATTCCAAATGTTAAGAGAGCTTATTCCGCACAGTGACCAAAAGAGGGACAAAGCATCTTTTTTATTAGAGGTACATTCTTATGAGATGACATAGTTTTTATCTAAAGTTTGCAATATATCTGATTGGTGCTCAATGTAAACTATTCGTAGGTCATTGAGTACATTCATTTTTTACAAGAGAAGGTTCACAAGTATGAAGGTTCATTTCAAGGGTGGAATAACGAGCCAGAGAAATTGATGCCATGGGTAAGTACCGTATTATATTTACCATAAGCTGCGCAGGATTTAAAGGAATAAAATATCATCTTCCTTGAGATATTTACTATTTCCTATTGTTGGAATCGTTCATTAGTGACAATATAGCCTGTTGCAACTGATTTGAATTTAGAAACATTCATAACTATTGCGACCTATCCAGAAACTTATTTTGCATTTTTTTTATTTCATAGCAGAGAAACAATGACAAGCCAGCTGAGAACTTTCAACCTCGTGGCACCGATAATGGGTCAAGTCCATCTCCAGCACTGCTCTTTGCTTCAAAGATTGAGGAGAAAAATATTAGCATCTCCCCAACAATTCCTGTGAGTACCCATAATGTAGAATCTGGCTTGAGTACGGCAACTACCTCCAAGACAATGGACCATCCGGCTGGGATAATGAACAAGGCTTTTCCAATTCCTATTTCTTCACAGCTAAATTTCTTCTCTCCAAATCAAATGGGTGGTCCAGGTGGAGTGGTGTCTCAGCTCACGCATAGAACGGCTTCTGATGCTGAGAACAAATATCAACCTTCAGTGGAGTGTCAGACTGTTGCTGCTACCAATGAAAAGCTAAAAGAGAAAGAGCTCACTATTGAAGGTGGTGCAATTAGCATATCAAGTGTGTACTCAAAAGGGTGAGGATTTATATTATTTTTATTTGTTTTGTGAATAATAAGAAAACAGTTTACTTCCTTTATTACCGTTTTGAAATTTTGTGGTCTGTTTGACATGAAAAATGGATCTTTTCTCAAGTAAATATTCATGGAAAGGGAAAATAGATGTGGCAGGTGATTATAGAGACATGCTGTTTTAATAACCTAATAATGTTGCATCATACTTATATTAGATTGAACCAGGCATGATGCCGAAGAGTCATTTAATTATGCTATGCAACCTTACTTTTAGACTAAATTCACTTCTTTCTCTGATAAGGATCTGCAATTCATGATGCTGTATAATTGGGGAAGAAGTCCAGGATTTCAGTTCATACTTTAAAAACTATCCATGTTATCTCTTTATTTGTATTAGATCAGTTGTCTCATGCAAAGGTGGTTTTTCCAGATATTTTCTCAACAGTTGTGTGGACCAAGTCAAGTGATACATGTTGTAACGAGGATATAGTAAAGCAACACTGATTTGTAGGAGCATTTTGGGTAATATACTGAAATAAATGTGTTATACTTGGACAGGTTGTTGCATACGCTTACACATGCACTGCAAAGTTCAGGGGTGGATTTGTCACAGGCTAGCATCTCAGTGCAAATTGAACTTGGTAAACAAGCAAACATCAGACCAACTGTACCAGTGTCAGTGTGTGATGCTAAGGTATATTGACACTCTATTTACCCATTTGCCGGAGCTTTGTTTTGAATATACGCTAATTTGGGGATGATGTTCCCTAGGATGGTGAAGTACCTTCTAACAACCAAAAGATGACGCGCTCTAGAGTTTCCAGCTCTGGGAAGTCTGACCAAGCCATTAAGAAGCTAAAGACCTGCAGAAGTTAATTGGACCGTTATATTCATTCTTTTCCTTATTATAATTTTTATTAATTATTAATTATTTGGGGTAACTTTTTAAAATTAATTTTTGAAAGGGGTATTTATGTCTTCTGCTGGCCTACTATCCTGCGAGGGTGAGATCGACTGTACATTCAGTGTCTCTTTATTTTGTTGGGATCACCAGGCTCACCCCCAACAAAATAATATGAATTATTTTAGTTTCTAAATCATATATATATAAAAAAGGCTTCCGTACTAATTGAGAAGCTATTTTTTTAACCACAGCTTCTATTCCTGTAAAGTTTGTAAACTCTGACTCCTTTATTTGCCGCATATTGTTTAACATTGGTTTTGGTGATCTTGTGAATTGTTATGAAATCGTATAAACTACAAAGGAACATATTCTACTCTTACCAATCTCATTAAAAGGTTCAAAGTTAGAGAACACTAAAATGACGCAGCTATTTAAACAATTTTCATCCCAATTGTGTTTGAAGGATTGGTTTTACAGACATGCAGTAATATTGTGGTCAAGATAGACAAAAATTATAGGATCAATTTCCCTATAGTTTTATTTTTAATGTTTGGTTTGACAAGTTGATGTTTTGTTGGTTGCTTAAAACTGTCAACAATTGTTTCTAGTTTTTGGTAAGTATAAATAATTTTTTAACGGTTTAAAACGTTGAAAAAAATGCAATTGTTATTGGATTCTTTCTGTCGCCGTCTTGCACTCCCCCAACTCAATTCACAGTCCCACCAAAATATAGTATGCATCATTCTCTCGTTCCCTCTTCCTGTTCCTTTTCATGCCATCACCTTCCCCTCAACGATTAATTGCTTTAAGATAAAGCATTTCGAATAGCAACTCAATTCTAAGTTTAATTAATTATTATTTATTCTATAATCGATCTTATTAACGGTTGTTAATTGAGACAAACGTTGAGGGTATATCATGACGTGGCACCAAATTAACATGCATTAAGTTAATATAACTATGTGATATCAAAGGCGAATAATAATTTGCGACGTATGAAGTCTCAGAGTTAGTGTTACTACACTACTACCACCATTAGTGACATTACTTAATATTTAGGTGTTTAGATAATTTATACAATCCAACACTTAGTCCAAGTTGGGGTTTCTTGGATCTTTGAAGTTATACTAAAAATATGACAATTGGATAATTAGTGAGTATTTTCTTGGGATCCATAGATTATGCTTCAAGAATTTAGCTTTAATTGCCATCTATTCAAACTGTGTTTGATTTGACTGATATAATCCTTCAAAGCACTCACAGAAGATACTCCATCATCTTTTGTTTGAATATAAACCCTAATTTGGCCGTGACGGAGGATTGGATTCAGGGCTTTAGAAAATGCTGGTTTGAAATCGTGTGTCTGCCACTTTTATGGAGTGCACAAATTAGGCGATGAAAATGGTGAATGTTGAAGTGTTTATTTAACAGATGAGTACAACGCACTACTTTTGTCCAATTCTCGTTATGCCCTCACCTTATACAACGAAAGTGACCTCAATTGGTGGCTTTCATTTGTTAATTTGATCATGTTCAAAGAAATTGACCTGCATGATTTCAATTATTATAAAAATATTTAAAACGGTATAAAATATTATTAGTATATATGTCATCCCTTTAGATTAATGTCATCGAGTAAAAATAAATAAATGTACCTAATACATAGATCCATAACATGCATTGATGTCACAATTAAAAAGATCGTATAAGACAAATATATATAATGGATCATTTTAATTCCAACTCCTAAATTTATCGATAATTTATAATTTAAAAATTTAAATTAATTAATATTCATAAAAATAATTTTGTTATTGAAGAAATATTTAATTTAATTATTTATTATTTTTTAGTATAAATATTTCCTTCTTCTTTTTATGTCACTTTTCACTCTCTTTTTTTATTCTCATGCTATTGAAATAGACTTAAGTGACGTAATAAGTAGAGTTTATACTAATTGTAGTTATCCAAAGAGATAGCATAAGTTGATAATTTCTCTTATAATTTTCTGTTCAACTTGGATGGGAAAGAGTAATGCAAAATCATGAAACCAAAAAATTTGTTATTGGACACAAGTGATATATTCTTCCAATATAGTGGATGGCCTTTGAAATCATATAATATTCGGAAGTGAAAATGGATGTTTGTTATTCAAAACTTCAATTAATCCTTACGAAAAAGACTAATTCAAAGTCCTTCTCCTAATTATAGTCTAAAGATACGCAGAAAAATAGTATTAGAAGTATCCACCAATAAATAATGAGTAATCCTCTAACAATTTGGAGAAGGATCCTTGAAGCACATATGGATCTCATTCCTTTTTTAAGTAAAGACCTTGACTCATTGCATATACAATTTCACCTGATTCAATGTTCTACGTAATGCAGTTTGCGAATTTTACAGCTATAATAATAACAAATATATATATATTTAAAAATATAGAAACATATAAGATGGAATGTATGCCAAATTTAGTTTATTTCTGATATTTAGCAAACATTTGTTTAGAGAAAAAAAATAAAAATCAAAGCTTGAATCCACGCGTTGATTCGATATATACATTTTTTTAATGTTCAATTTTTATTCTAACTTATTGCTTTATTAGTTAGATGAACATTTAGTCTTTCTATTTTAATTAAACAATTTTCAAATCATTACATTAGCTCAGAATCAGACTTTTCAAATATCCCCATTCATTACCTTATCTCAACGTCATTAACCCAACCAACCCCCTTTATATTCTCCTTTTACAGGATCTAAATATACATAGTGGGACAATCACTATGTGTATGATTTTTCCTTTTCCTTTCAGTACATTTAATGTGTATTTTTACACGCAACGAGAAAAAACATGTAAAAACTAACAAAACCGGCACCAAATAATTATAATTTTTTATAATCACAACACAAACCCAATCTTCATGTCTCTCAACACTTAGATAAAGGGGGCAGGGAAGGGTTTAAAGAATAAATGTAGGTATCAAGGAACTGATCACCTACCGTATGTGTCGAATCAATAACTTAAGCCTCATTTCATCTCAGGCATATTGCAACCACTTATTTAATGTCAGCCAATAATTTCAAGGATCATCTAAGCTATGATTTCCTTTTATCATCATCCTGTACATTCAAGTAAGTTCAAAACTAAATTAGTATCCATAAGTGCCGCCAACTTCAATGAATGATTTAATAAAATTCCAGAGCAAAATGAAGTTCCAATTAAACCAAATAAATCTTCTACTATGGGGAAAAGAGTTTCGGATATGGTTCAATAGTCTTCTACTGACACAAAAACATTACTCTTTTGCTTAAGTAATCCTAAATAGTGAGTGTGTGTGTGAGTATACACTTGCACTTACATACCGTAACTAGTACATATTATATCATGCTTACCGAATTATCCATCAGTTTGTCCAAATCATCATCATATTTTCCATCGCCATCATCTGAAAGACCAGAGAGGTTGTATGCAAATAAAAAGTCACGAGAGTTTAAATTCACCTGGAGCACATTGTTCTGCACTCAAAACTTAAATACCCAAAAGAACATTCTAATACTATCATTGGATATAACTCCAACTCTGTGAACATAGTGGTATGGGCTAACAAATAGGAAAACATGAAGAAATTTTTAATGACTTAGCGTTAGTTCTGTCTGCATTGGTTAAGAGTTTAATATAGATTACTTGCTTGATGAGGAGTGAAGAAGAGAAGACATGAAAAGGGAATAATGACCTCAAACTCTCACTTTTGTTTCCCTTCAAACTAGGCTATAATGAGGGTAAATAGCTATGCTTTTATCTCTAGAACCTGTGAATTACTATTTAACCGACAAATTTAGTTGCTTGAATAAAAATGTGTTAAATAGAAAATTTGTACAGTTAATATTCAGAACCTTTTTTACCTTGCCCTTGCTTCTGTCATTAATCATCCAAACACGAGGAATGTAAAACTACATTTTGTCCTTTCTTTTCCCGTCCATCTCATTTACTCTAAAACTTCCAACTTATGTAGCATAACCAGAAGATCTCTACACAATCCAAAAATAAATTGTTTGGCTTGACATGACTATATCCTTTTCCTATATGGTTAATCTCCTTTGAATTATTCTGGGACTTAAAAATTTGTTTATATCATTTATAAATGGAGATGTACCAAATTCGTATGCACTATTTTTCAGAAATAAATAATAATTTTTAATAGATTAAATATACAAGGTGTACCAGGCTCATCATCACTGTTTCCTTCTCCCAGAAGAAATGCATCCAAGTCTTTCTCAGTTGATGAATTTGCTAATTTGGCCTCTTTTTGCGCCTCTTGTTTACAGATCAATTCAGGGTTTAAGGGTTCCATTGTGACTTTGTGATCGTTTACATGTTCAGAAGATTTTAGTATTTCATCTTCCATGTACTGTTTCTCATAGCTGCCATAAATCACAAGACAAAGAAGTTTACTAAATGCACAAAACAGCATAACTATAACAGAATAACCCAAGTTAAAGAGCATCCAAATGCGTTAATTGCTAGATGCGTTTCACATAAAACATGGGCTAGTAGTATTACAATGTACTGAATACTCGTTATTTTAAAAAATTCAACCACATTCTGTTGCCTCTATGAGCTCTCCTCTAGACATCTAAATTACATTTCTGGAATTTCTCATGTTCATGCTGTCATAGCAGAAGTTCCTCAATCTCTTACTGTACGTATTTTATTTTTACACCTCCAGGATGAGAGTATTTCATACTTTCAGTACCATGGGAACAATACAAACATTCCTATATTCTAAATTCCGTATTCATTGTTTAAGGCCTAGAATATGATATTTAGTTATTTACAATTAAAAAACAGCATATATATATATATATATATATATATATATATATATATATATATATATATATATATATATATATATATTCAAATCTCATTTGGCAAGTATCAAGAAAATCTGCATAGCATGCATGACCCTTTAGTGTTTTAAAGTCAAAAAAGAATATATTAATATGAAAACCCAAATACTCTAGCAACAAAGAAAGATTACATACGGTGCAGTATGATTATTCACAAGTATAAAATATATTCTCCAAAACTTCCTCTCTTTCATGACTCGTGGACACAGTTCATACCTCAATCTAGAAATCTCCTGTAACAAAGAAAAAACTGAATAGTCAGAGTGCATTATGTCTCAAATATGTAATTACAAGAAAAAATGTAACTGATGTGGAATATAACATGTATTCACAAACCAACCCATAAACATATGTGACAGATTTTACTTTATTCATGCGAGATTAACATAAAAACATGCAATGTCTTTGACCCAATGATTTGCTCCAACAAAGTTGGAAATAAGAATACCAAGCATCTTTTTATTTACCATGATGCACATGTCACCAGTTATCATGAGTGGATCTGACAAGGGCACGGTTGCATGAGCGTGAAAAGGGAGAACCATAATTCACCATACTGCAATTCAGGGTGTTAGCTCTTACTGCATTGCTCTATCCTCGCCCCTCCTTCTATCTTTCGCACATACAGGCAAAAACTCCTAGAACACAGTGGTCAACACTAACTCAGACACACAAATTACTCACAGTATCTAAATCTCACTCACACTAACTCTATAACTTATTGTATTTTATATGTTTCAGACTCGCAGCCATTACGAAGTATCCTGGTTGTGTGATTTTCTGGACAAGTTGATAAATATTAGGCACTTCCCATTCCCATGGTTAACGATACATATTTTTTATCTGTCACCTAAAACTAATTGTAGCTAAGCAAACAAAGTTAAAGCAGAAAAGGAGAACATTATTTAGCAATTCATCCGAAGGATTTAGATGTAAATTATTACTTCTCCAATATCCATCTGGATCATTACCACTTGAATCAATGCAAATGCCTTGGATTGGAGCTCAATAACAAACAAACAGAAGCACAAATCCTGTCTGCAGTCCAGTTCTAATCCTCGGATCAGAATAAAACACAGGTTGTACCTCTATCATACACACACAACTTTCTAATTTGTCTGGAGAAAATAAATCACAACGACAAAATTGCCTAGATAAAAACCAGATGCAAACATATCCAAGAGATGTCAAGTTTTCAAGTAAATATGAATGCTGAAAAAAAAATTTATAAGAATCTACAACTAAAGTCTTGAACAAAAAGCAATTTGTATTTCTTAGTCAAACACTATATGCATGTTAGTAAAAAATGATAATCGGCTCCACTCTAAATTTAAAGAAAGCACAGAGAAAACAAGTTGTGCATTAACATTGATAAAAGCACGCATGCCCTGCACAGCTTTGGTAACATTCTGATTCACAGAATCACAAAAGATGCTACCTTGACTGTAGAAAGAACAAGGCTAGCGTGTTTTTCCTGCCAATCAGTTAGATCCTGCCTGACATTTGAAACCGCAGGAACATCAGATAATTCCGAATCATCTGCAAATGTATGGGAACGAAACTGTGATAAGCTCCTCATGTGAAGAAAAATAAAGAAGAGTAGCAGCCGAACTAAACGGAATTCAAACATGGTAGGTAGCATTATTAGTAATGAACAATGAGTGTTTGATAATGACGGAGGTTTTGGAATAAAAATCATTTAAAATATGTTTAAAATAACAAAAAGAAATAGTGAAGAATAAAATGCTCCCATTTTCACTTCAGAATATGACACAACTTTGGTTGCAAATTATATGCACTCCAAAGTCTAATTTCCATTTCTCACTTGAGGAAGCAAACCCTAATCTACACAGATACAATAAAAGGAAAAAATAAAAAATAAAAAATACCCTGAATGGGAAAATCTTCAAAGGTAGTGATGGTGATCCCTTTGACGAATTCTCTCAACTCTTCGGTGATGCCAAAACGGTGGAGATCGACGTCGTTTACGAGAGAAGGTTGGGGCAAGTGCTTGGAAGCTTGCACCGCTATCTCTTTGGTGGTCTCTGTTATGATGTCGCTCAATTTGGAAGCTCCCAAGGACAAATCATGAGATCGTTTGGAAGCTTCTTCCGCAAAGCTTCGGGCTCTGTTCCACAGCTCCATCTTTTTCGTCTCTTCTGATTGATGAGTGATTCATTACAAAAAACTTTCTGCGCAATTTCAGAAAAGTAATTATCCGAAGTTAACGACGTTTTGATTGGGCAATGGAAGAGAAGAACAAGCGCAGGTTGCCACGTACTATGCTTCACCACTCTCTCTGTCTTTTCTTCTTTTTTTCATGATACAAATTCTCATTTTGTTTTATGTAAATATTATTAAAAATTAATGCAAAATATTATGATTCTGCATTTTTTCTGGTCAACATTCCTCTCCATTCAAAACCTGATGAGGTTTTAAGAAAACAATTGTCCAGTGCCAGCCTGCATCTAACAAAATAAGTGCTTGAAAAAAAAAAAAGTGTTCTCTTTGTTGGGCTTAAGTAAGTTTCTTAATGGCTCTTCTTCCTCCATCCTATAATTTCTTTATCCACTTTCATATAAATGTTTTTTATTAATTTTTGTTTAAAACTTTTAAAGTTTCTTTTATTCCTCAATATCTTAATATTTCTTTTATACCTCCATAAGCAATTTCATTTTATTGTGGATTTACTTGGAGATTTTTTCCATCTGTAAGTTGACAATTTTTTTATGTTTTATATCTGTTACATGAAAAATGAATTGAATTTGAAACGTATTTTTAAATTTAAAGTATGTTCTGAAACATTTAATATGAAATATATTTTTGAAAAAGTTAATTAGAAAATTTATTTCAAATTAAATGTTTTATAATACATTTTCATATTAATATATCCTAAATTAAATATTCTAAAATATATTTATAGATTGATTTGTTTAAAAATGTATGTCAAAATATTGAATCAAAAATGTATTTTGAAAACAATTAATAGATATATTTTATAACATCCAACTCAAAATATATTTATGAATTAATTTTTTAAAATATAAATTTTGAAATATTAAATCTGAAATGTATTTTCAATGGTTAATTTAAAAATGAAAAAAAGTTGTAATAAGATTTTTTTAATTATGAATGAAACAGGTGGAGAAATAAACTTTGATTTTCTTTAGTGGGTTGGACTTATTTTTTACGTTTAACTTTTTTTTATAGCCACAATTAACCTTTTTAGCAGCTCTTGTCGCTATTAAATATATAAAAAAAATACATGATAAAGAAAAAAAATCATAGTTTTATTGATTCTTGTTTCAATTAATACAACAAATAAGAATCAAATAACAAGTCTCACAAATTAATTTAACTTTTTAATATTCACATTTTCTTTACGTCTGAGACGTAATTTTCGTGATTGATGTGATCACATATTCAAGACCCGAACTCAAATTACCTGATTAAATTATAACAATCCTATGCCAGATGATCACAAACTTATTAGTAATATCATGTATTCGTACAGTTTTTATGTGTTAAAATTATTGATATTGTCAAAATATCTCAATTATCAAGTTTAAATTCACTTATTTCTTAAAATATCTTACAGTTTAATAAAATATTTAATTTTTTAAGGTTACATGTGTTTTATTTTTTGACAAATTTGATTTTAGTTCACATTTAAACCACAAATTTTAAAACATATAAATTTAGGTGTTTTATTAATTTGATAACAATAAGAAATAATATCGTAAGTTGAATGACTAAGTAGTTTTTGTTCAAGTATAAGAATAAAAATTAAACTTTTATAAGTTACAATAATGACAAAAATATATTTACCCTTTTTTTTATTATATTATTTGTATAACTTATCAATTAGGAGATAATTTGTATTTGTACTTAAAGATGCAGTTTAAAGAGGAAGTTGGTGGTGTTGGAGAGGGTGAATTGGATCGGATGGTGCAAGAGAATATATATTTGAGTGAATTGATAGTGTGTCACGATGAGTTGATAGATATATAAATCAAGAAAAATAAATAAAATAAATAAACAAACTTGGATGTGCATTATAAATAGAGTGTCCCACATACTTTTTTTTTCGTTTTAAATATTTAAATTAATAAATTATTTATAAATTATCACGTCATTTAGTTTAATTCATTTTTAATTTATATGTGTTTTTATTCAATTTTGTTGTGTTTAGATTTATTTAATATATTATTGTTTAGATTAAAATTTTACTATAACTTTTTTATTTATTTAAAATCAATTATAATTAAAGAAGTTTATGATCTACTTAGGTGATGTACTTGATTATTCAAAATAAATATAAAAAAACAAGTGAAAATTTTATAAAGTTAAAACCTAAATTCATCAAACAAATAAATGAAAAAAATATTATATTTAATTTTGTAATAATTAAAATTTGTTATTATTATATTTTATTTAGATTTTTATGAATTAAAATTTAATGAATATAACATGATAAACGATATGTTTATTATATAGTATCTGAATTGTTTTAAAAATTAGTATACTCGCATGCAGTTCACATAATACGTAAACTCATGCTTACGTAAGATGGATCAATATTTGTAAATATATTTTATTTTATTTTCAATTAAAACAGGACAGGACTGTCCACGGTATCATTCCTAATTATAAAATAACAAATTAAAATATTTTTTTAACAATGTTTCTTATTTGGTCATTAAAAAAAAAGTTAAATAAAGTAAAAATCGATAATATGAAAAAAGTCGGTTAACAATTTATTGCACAAAATATAAAGTTTAATATTATACAAAATTAAATCATAAAATAAATAAAAAGGTGAGTTTAAACATAAAATACAAAATAAATAAATATACATAAAAAAACCTTGAATATAAAGGCATCCAAAAATATAATATATTCGATTAACTCTTAATCAATACGTCAAAATTAACCTTGAGTGCGTCTTTTGGATGCATGGCTTTCATATGTGCTATACTATATAAAGTTAATCAACACTTGTTACACAAAATATTTTGTTAGTTAGTATTTATCGGGAATTTAATTTTCAATAATATTTTACTATACTTAATTAACACTTGTTACGCAAAAATATTATTTTTAATATATTTAGTTAGTATTTTATGAAATCTAATTTAATATTTGATTGTAGTATTATTGTATTAATAATTGATGTTAAAAATTTTTGGTTAGAGTAAAAATTATACTAATTTATATATTATGATATTATAATATATCATATATTTTTAATCGTAAAATTTTATTATATTCTTTATTTTAAGGGAGTTTTTCATCAGGTCAATTTATTTATATCTTAATATAATTATAATTAATTAACTAATGATACTATATTAAAAATATAAAATATTTAACTTAATCTTATAAAAAAATATTGTCTGTGTAATAATGTTATTTGAATGGTAAAAACATATTACTGTAATGTTATTTGAGTGATAAAACATATATATAAGTTAAGGTGAAAAGAAAAAACGTTGGAAATGTTTGTTTGTGTTGAATGAAAGGAAAAGGAGAGAGAGAGAGAGAGAGAGAGAGAAGAAGAAGAAGAGTAGAGTGGTGTGCGGGAAGTGTAAGCGAGAGGGAATTTGAGATGGATGGATGGGTGGGGCCGAAGGAGAAGACGATAGGGGTAGGGTGGGGCCGAAGAAGAAGGGGTGCCAAGGCTCCAACCGACTGGGCCTGAGGCAAAGGGGTGAAGCCCATAGTTGGTGGGTCGTGACAATGACACCCATTAAACGAAGAAGCACGAAGCAGCGTATCTTGGACGATCTCATGGATCGTGAAAGCTACACGCACATTTTTGAAAAACTCCATGTGTAGGAGGCCCCCCAACCTAAACCCTCTCAAGTTTCTTCTTGTGTTTGCATAGGGCAGCATGATTACATTATTATACATGCACACATACACGTAAGCAAACGAACAACCTACTTAGCCTTCAATTTTTCATTTTTCATTTTTCATAGATGTGGACAAGTACCGGTAGACCTAAATGACCGTCCCATGTGCATGTGAACATGTTCCCATCATATTACCTGCTCACTCAACCAATCACGCTTTCACTCGATTTTGTTCCTCCATCTCTCACACCAATTATTTCATTTGACCACTCACCTAAATATCTCCATTATTATTCATTCATTCATTTCCCTTGCCTCCGCGCGGTTACACTTTAACTCCTCCCAATTATGCCTCATTAATACAACCCTTAATTACATTGCTCATGGATCAAACTCTCACCATCTTCCTCAAATAACATGCCCTTCTCTTCCATGTTGCCAGGGTGCAAACGATCTCCGAATAGAGTGTGTATGTTGTCAATGGACGAGATGATGATTGACCAAGAACAACAATTACAACTTGAATAAATTGCAGCATATGTTACTGAGCGTCTGATAGGGATTTATTTGCTTGGTTGGGTTAATAAGTGATGTGCAGTGGAAAAAAATGAATAGGGTTTAACTAGGTGCAGGGGTCCATGAATCAATTTTGGTCCAAATTAGTTGGAATAGAATAATTAAGGGGTGTCCTATCTCTGTGTTTAATTCAACGGTTGAAGTGTGCCTGACTATTCTTCGCCCGGCACACTATGCCATTTAATAATAATAACACGAGAAGATAGAGCTAGCGTTTTGAATCTATATATTCATCAACTCCAGACTGTACTGTGCTTTGATGGTGCTTGTCTTCGGTGCATGTCAACTTGATTAGTCTTATCAGTTTTCGTTAGGGTAACTTCACTTCAACGTAACCACTTACTTATGTTTGGATATGGTGGTCCTCATTGCCTACTCCTTCAGATAACAGGTGGAAACAACGACCATCGTCGTTTCGATTCGCAAGACGATTCCATGTGTTTAATATGATATCTTCACATTAACACATGTACTCCAGGTAGTACTCGTACAATGTTTAACATTTGCCTCTGACATAAATATATACGCTTCTAAAATAGGCAAGGAGCGAGTTAAAAGTAAACATATTTTAAAATATTTAATAATAACAACAATAAATTATTAGATGATGTTTTTCTTCTACTAAATGTACCTACTTGATCCTAAGAGAACCAATTGGGTCTTATATTCCTCCAAGTCCCTTTGCCTTATACATTCTTTCAGACTCGAGACAACTCGTTTCATTCATTACCACAATCAATTTTATATTTTTTCTAGTCACTACTGGATCCACTTCTCACTGCTACAGATATGTCTTTCAACGTCGGTTATATAAGGCTTTCAACGTCGGTTATACAACCGACGTTGTATCAGGCGACGTTGAAAGTATACACTTTCAACGTCGGGTATAGATAACCGACGTTGAAAGTTTAGGCTTTCAACGTCGGTTATTCATACCCAACGTTGAAAGTGTATACTCGTCGCTCAAGCGAGTACACTCGTCGCTCAAGCGAGATGGAACCCGAGAGTCCCCATTGTTTGAAGCTTTCGTCGCTTAAGCGAGTACACTCGTCGCTCAAGCGAGATGGAACCCGAGAGTCCCCTTTGTTTGAAGCTTTCGTCGCTTAAGTGAGTACACTCGTCGCTCAAGCGAGATGGAACCCGAGAGGCCCCTTTGTTTGAAGCTTTCGTCGCTCAAGCGAGTACAATCGTCGCTCAAGCGAGTACGTGTTTACTACGTCGGTTATGGTATGAACCGACGTAGAAAGTCTATTTTTTTTTTTAAATGGACGCTTTGTTTATACAGGGTACCCAATGTTTGTATATATACATACCTGCAAATTTGAATACAACCCAGGCAGACAATGTACAAGATATAAACAATTGAATGTGCATCTAAAAATAAAATTGTATCCAAAATTATAGTGTATCCAACTACTTATCTACCAAATACACTAACTACTAATCTAACTAATAAACTAACTAGTAAACTAACTAGTAAAGTAACTACTAAACTAACTACTAAACTAACTACTAAACTAAGTACTAAATTAATAACTAAACTTGCCTACTTCTAACTTTAACAAACTTATCGACCCATGTGTTTCTAATATCGTCAATGGTCTCTATGGGCAATGCTTCCCTGTCTGAAAATACCTGTTACAAGAAAAAAGATAATTTAACAGAGATCCAATGACACAATACTGGGTCTTTTATTGAATACTAAATTTAAGCAAACCTGATTCCATGTATCCTCAATCTTGCTAACAACAATCAGCCACATTCAGTGCATAACATAATATCCGCACTCATAAGATCCTGGTTGCCTATTACACTACAAAAAATAATATATTAATTTGACATATAAAATGAATGATATAATACATAAATATAAAATGACTTACATTAACAAAAATCCAATCTGGAGTCGTGCTTTTGCTTGTGTGTACTCCATCAATTGTATTGCAAACCTTAAATGCACTTGTGCAATACAAGATATAATGAAACAATTAAGTAACAAAACAATTAATAATTGTTTAAATTATTATAAGAATGTGTACCTGTTTACAATGTTTTTAAGATCTGCATCAGGTTTCTTGCCCAGTGAGCGGAACCAAGCCACAACATTCTGCTTTGGGCAAACAACCAACAACTGTCAATGATTTACGCTTACATTACAAAAAGTTAGGATAATACAATACACTATAAAATTTAATGCGAATAATTTCATACGCTTAAATACTTACTGATGGTGGTAAGCACCCAAGTAAACTTTCTTCCTTGACTTCATCATCCAATTTTGGATGTATATTTGAACTTCTTCTCTCTTGTTTCCTGATTTTTGTATGGATTGGGGGTCAAAAAATCCATACACATCTTGGGTGCGTTGTTCCTCCGACAATTCATTCATCATCCTAAAGTAGTCAGTTCAATGTACATTAAATATGACGATAACTTCAAATAACATAATTAGTAAATAAAAATAAATACTTACATTGTCCAAAATTGTAACACTGCTGTGTTTAGACACTGATTGCCAACTGCTATCTCCACAGCATCGGTGTGGTCAATGTAAAGGGGAAAGTTCTTATTGTCACCCCTAACTTATTAACATCCCACTTCACTTGAAAAGATTGAATATACAATTGTGGGACAACAGATAGTAGTTGAAAAATTGGATTTTCTGCGACATCTACTTCCTTACCTTTACTAGTATGGGAAGTAGGAACCAGTTTAGGCAACTGGGGTGGCTTCTGAACATCCTACATAAAATAACATTGACTTCAGAAATAATAAAAAATAGTACCAGACTACATATGATAATTAACAGAAAGTATATGCAAACCTTTTTCAAAATAGGCCTGATTAGATGTCTAGGCCATGCAATGAAGGTCTGGAGGGCCTGTCCCACTGTCATCACCTCGTCTGTGGGCACAGGTACAAGAGCATACGCATCTCGAACCTCTTCAATGACCACTTTGGCCAAGTTAGGTGCTAAAGGCACACTATGAATTGTAGAGGCCCCCTCTTCAATTGAACCAACCGCCACCAATCGTGGTTCAGATCCATCCTCATCAACATAAAATTCACACTGACCTGATTACACAAAAATAAGACATTAATTATTTAATATGCACATGAATTTTTGTCATTAAGATATCATCCACACATACCTGAGTGGTCAGTGTCTGCAACAACAACAACAACCTCCTGATTAGTAGCAGGAAGCTCTTGATCAGCAGTATTTGGCTCAGCACAACTACCCTTAGTGCTAACTCGTGCGGCAGATGGAGGAGGAACATCCATAGGTGGGTGGGTAGGCTGTGTGACACCTATGGATGCTAGACTTGAACCAAATACACGCATCATCTCCTCTTGAACTCGTGCGATAATGGCTGGTGTCAGCGTCGCTGTCAGCTTTTCAACCATCGCTGGTCTCAGCTTCGCAGTTAGACTCTCCTCCAATCTGGCCATCTCCTGCTGGCTCAATGATGTGGTGTGGGTATGGTCTGATGATGGAGCTCCAAAATATGCTCGAATACCCACACCAACTCCAACAGCACGAACACGCCCTGGGTGTTCTGGGCGTCCAATAGCAGTAGTTAATATATTTTCACGACCACGGGGAACGAATGTTCCCTGTGTATACTGCTCCTCTAAAGAATCCTACAATTGAGCATTATATATTGTAAAAAAAATTGATGAATGACAAAGCATGGTTAATGAGGTTGAAAGAAACTAATTTGACTTACAATCCGCTCAGCAATCAAGCGGGCCTCCTCTGATGTCATTTCACCGGAGGCCTTTTGCCGAGCCCTCTTCCATTTTTGATGACGTTTTGGAGGAGATGGTGGGGAAATTTCTTCCTGGCTTACACCAGAAGAGGCTAACTCAGCTTCTCGGAGTTTAGCCTTCTCCTTCATCATGCGTTGTGTCAACAAATCATACCCCCCACGAGACAGACAGTGGGGGGCCACATTCATCCTCTGAATCTCCTTTCCTTTTATTCGCTTCTCCTGCAACATAATATCATATTACAATGTGCTAAATTAATAAGACAATATGGAAACATACCAAAGTTTTTAAATAGTAACATACCTCCCATTGTGGACCAGTCCTACTCTCGACAAGCTGCTTCCAAGTTTCCTCATCTATGCCATAACGCTGACAAGGAGTTAATCCTTTGCTAATGGCTTGGTCATTAAAAATCCATTTTGAAGTCAATGTCGACTTGAATTGCCTCCACATTTTGGCAATAGATGACATGACTTTTCTCCTAAGTTGTTCAGAGTTAACAATATCAAAGTGATTCTGCAAAAACAACAAAATAAATTAGGATAACAAAGTTTACGATCTAACTTAACTTAACATAATTTAACGAGTTAACAAAACTCACCAAAATATCTTGCCAAATTAAATTTTTGCAAGTCTCCTCCACATAATCCCAAGATGGATGCAAAATAGATACCTAATTATGAACTTAAAACGTTAGATATCAATCCATTTACATATGCTTGACCATATATGCATAACAAGTTAAAAACTCTAAAAAATTACATACCTTTTCTCTAGCAAGAGTACCCAAGTAGGACCTAAATTGAGTGTGATGTGGCCACGATATTTTGCCAGTCTTAGGATCCACACTCACAATCAACTTATCTCCTGCCATATGACGAACGGTCAACTTTTTCAACCGTGTGGCTTGTCGAGTCCTCTTTAGAGATGGGGGGGTGGACATGCCGGAGGAGATCGTTGGAGGAGATGCTTGGAGGAGATGTCATTTGCACTGTTAAAAAAAAAATTAAGTTAAGTTTTTGCATAAATTGGAATATAAATACAATTTATCACATATTTGAAATATAAACACAATTTATCACATATTTTCAATATAAACACAAATTAGTCATGAACACATAACTTAAATAGTTAAGTTTTCCCATATGCCTTCATCATGATCTTTACGAATAGCATGA